CCCCAAAACCCCAAAACCCCAAAACCCCAAAACCCCAAATCAAACTTAAAATTATAAATTTAAATGAGTATCATGATCAACGGGGTGCCAGCGTTCATCCTTGAAGAAGAGATCGCTAATAATTACAACCCTGACGATGAAGAAGTTATTGAGTATGCTGAGTTCCTTGGAATGGACATTGAGCAAGATCAGGAATTCTTCTACATTGCAAGAGAAGGACTCAAGGCTCCCCTCCCAAGCCCTTGGAAACCAATCCAAGATGCAGAAGGAGAGCTTTATTTCTACAACTTTGAAAATGGAGAAGTAGTTCAAGAACATCCTTGTGACGAGTACTACAAAGATCTTTACCAGGAAGAAAAGGCTAAATAAAGAACAAAAATTACATGAACAGATGATTCTGGAAGGTAATAATGTCTAATTAAATTTATTTTAGAGCAAGAAAGACTTGCTGAAGAGGAAGAACAGATTATCCAAGAGATGAGGCCAGCATATGAGCCCCAAATAGGTACGATTAAGCTCTATCTCTAGTACAAATGCAATCTCCACAAGCCGTGGACTATCAGAATAACATCAACCAAGATGTAGCCCAGTTCACTGAGAACTACAACCAAATAGCTGAAGACCAAATAGTACTAGATGAAGAATCAGACATCCCTGACATTAACGAATATGAAGACGAGAGAATCAGTAAATTCTCTTAACCATTCTTATAGATCAATTAAACAAAATAATGGATGAGCTGAAAGACAAACAAAATTTGGAACTTTCCAAGGTCCTTAGCAACGAAAATATGGATCGGATGCGTAAGAATACCAAGAAAGAACTCAGTGTCAAACTCAGACAAGAGAAACGTAAGCTACAAAATGAACAAGATGCTGAGCTCAAAGAATGGAGGAAGAGTAAATTATGCAATTTATCCCCTATAGACCTCTCAGTAGAAGACTACCAGCCTGACCTAGAGGTACCCAATTCCAAAATAATGCTAAATAACTTATTTTTAGGAGGACCACCAGGATTTGATGCAAAAAATTGAAGCAGAGCATGAGGCTAAAAAGGAAACTATTGGTGAGCAAGGAAATTAATCCTGTAGAGGAGAAATATCAAGAACAAATAAAAGAAGAACAGCTTAAAGCAGAAAAAGAAGCTGATAATATCATTGATATGGCTCAAGGCAAAGCTATGGACTCAAAGACTCTTGAAGACCTTGAAGTAACAGAAAAAGAGAGTATGTTTCGTTTGTAATATGTAGAACAGCAAATCCATGATAGACTAGCTGAAGATTTTAAAAAGAAGCTTGAACAAGAGGACATCAGACAGAAATCTCAGAATTCAAAGGGTCCATCTGAAACTGAGAAGATCAGTAAGAACAAAACTTGACCTTCTAGAAATCCAATGTGAACGCAAAGAGAAAACAAGGCTAAAGGAAATAGAGCTAGAGCATCTCAAAGAATTCAGAACTCTTGAAAAGGAAAGCACAAGTAAAACTAGGCATTACCTATAGAGCAATTTAAAGACCAAAAAGATGAAATAAGCAAGAAGTTCAGACAAGACAAGGAAACTTACAGAAAAGATTACTCTAACAAGGTATACTATCTCACTTATGTTTCAAGACAAATGAGCTCAACAAAGAGACTCAGAAGAAGATCGATGAATACAAGATAACCATCAATCAAAAACTCGATTTTGAATGTTCAGAAGAAGAACGCAAACTCTCTAAGTAAGCTCTCACAGGAGATTACTCTATAGTAAACTACAGTCCAAAAGAAAGGCACATAACACAGACCATAAAACAAAAGATGCACTTAAAGAAGTCACTAAACTAGTCCTCGACTTAGAGAACGAAAAGATCCGTGCCCGAAGAGAATCCAAGAATGTTACTCTAGAGGTTGAAAAGTTGGAGGCACAGTTGAAAAATGTGCGGGAGAGGAAGGGAAAATGGAACGAGGATGGAGATATTAGGGATCTTGAGGAAGAACTAGATGTCAAACAGAGAAGACTTGTGAGAGTGAGAGAGATGATTCAGCAGAAGAAGGAGAAGATGAGGGAAATGACTCAAAGAAAGACTATGAAGCGTGCTAAGAAAGTGGTTGATGGGATTGGAGAGGCTATTGATAGAGTAGATACTGGAAATAAATCTGTGTTGGTTAAACCACCTGCTCAGACTAGTTTCTACAGTAAGAGTAGGATTGAGGAAACTAAAATACCAATTTCTCACCAAATAGAGGAAATATTTGATTTTACAACAAAAGAAAGGAGTAAAATAATTAAAGAAAAAGAGAAGGCTCAGCTCGAATATAGGCTGATTTCTGGATTAAGAAACAATTTACACAAAGAGAATGCTAGTTTAAAGCAGAATCTCTCAGCTACAATGAATATCACTCGCAAAGGTCTGCTCGAAATTTATTCTAATCTTGGAGATCAATCAGATGCTTTAGAAGCTGAAAGGAAAGAACTTAACGATAAAATAGAGAAGTGTTCCAAAAAGGAGAAAATTTTACAAAAGATTTGAAATAAATAAGGACATAATGAAAGAAAGTACTAGTTCTAAATTAAGTACTAATATATCGAAAGAGATTTCTTCTGACTATGAGTTCTATATGAGAACTTACTTCTATAAACGTAAGACAATTCTTCATAACAAACATTTCATCACAAATTATAGCCGAAAGAGACAAATATGAAGAAAGCTTCTATATGAACCAAACCTCAGAATTCCACCCTATCCCAAACCAAAAGACCATGTATACATCTTACTCATACAAGCCCACATACACAAACCTAAACCGACTGATCACAAAAGTATTCCCCCAGGGCACCCTCAAGAACAACTTCTTCACCTCAATCGCTAACCCCAAGTTCTCTTCCTCCAAAAGTCACAGTAGACCCCCTCACCCGGCTAGGCCTAGCCGGGTGAGGGGGAATTTTGACTGGGCTGAAGGAAGAAGTGGGGGTCAGGAAGAGATTTTGTGTAGAGAAGGGGACTTTTTGGGGGGATTAGGTGAAAGATATGGGCAGATGTTTGTGAAGAAAGGGAGTTTATCGTTTTATTAAGAAGTTGAGTGGGAAGAAGAGGTGGAGGGGAGAATGAGGGGTGGAGGGGGTAGAGGGGTGAGAGTAGGGGGGTTTGGGGATGGGCGGGAAGGGCGAGAAGGTCCTGGGGAGGAGGATATAGTTAGAATTTAGGGAATAAAGGAGATAGGATGTTAATGGTTGAGATCATTGAGAGTGGATTATTTTGGGGTTTGGTTGTTGAGTATTGCATTTTAAAGATTAATTTCAATAAAAACTCTCAAATTCGGGGTTTTGGGGTTTTGGGGTTTTGGGGTTTTGGGG